CCACCCCTATGTTGTGGATCTACCCAGGATTTAGGACAAAGCGTTTCGCTTCCACATTTATATGGCGAGCGTGTAGAGAGTGGAATTTCTTGCATGCGGACTTCTTCTCCGAACGATATAACTTGGACTTTTTCAAGGTCAGAGTGACTAGGCATTATTTAGGGGTGCATACTACATCGTCGACCACATTCTCACTTTCCATCAGATGAGATGGATATCAAATGCTTAATTACTTATTAATAGAGCGATTTAACTTAAATCGAATTCGCGTAGAGCAATTCAAGTTCAAACTTTGTTCATAAAAGCAATAAGCAATATAAGTTTATTGACGTATGTATACACAAATTGACATTAGGATTCTATCAACATTGTAATGGCCCATTTATTCGACACGAATTTCGAAGAGACCGCGTTGCCGCCGCAAAGCGACCGCGTGCGTCTAACTGTCATAGCAAAGTACGCTCTTTTATTTAGCATTTACGTATTAACTTAAATGACATAGCATGGGTTTTAACATAATCATCCCGGGCGTGCGGGAAAGCCTGGCTTCTCTTTGGTATTATGTATTCAGAGGAATTTAAATGGTGTTACCTAGTAAATAGAAATCAGATTCGCCATTAATGTACGTGAAACCGTGGTAACCGGGCGGTCGCCGCGCGGCGGCTGCGCGAGTAGGCGCTAAAGGTACCAGGTTGAGTAAATGAAACTTTCATAGATTTCTCGCAGACGGCGCTAAGGCAGAAAACTCGTTAAAACCAAAAACAAAATCTGCAACAAGCGCATAGAGAAACTTGTATGGTCGGCTGATTCGTTATGTAGCTCGGGAGAGCGACAGGCACGATATGCTGAAGGCGCTGGCTCGAAGCCAGCTGGAACGAAATAAATTTTCTTAGTGTTCGATCTTAACAAACTCAAAGTAATTGAATCATGGTAGTAAAATAAAAAAATAACACAATGTTATTCAATGAACTTACATGATATTTCTTCACTTTTTATATCTACCGATTCTGAAAATGTAAAGGTTTTTTTTGCGCTTGAAATTTATATACCGTATTGCTCTTGAGAGAGCACTCGACGCAGAACATTTTAAAGTTCGTTGTACAATATTAATTCAATCGCGTTCCACTTTAGTTGCAGGGCACAATCGGTCAGTGGGACAAATGTATCGATTCCAATGCAATTGATTTTTGTCTCGTTAAATTAACGCTTACCGCTACTTTGTGGCCGGTACAGCTAAAGCCTTTGAAGTTACTTGTTGCTTCGCTACGTTATTAGTATCCATTTAAGGAGTAACTAAACTTACCTCCGAATCGTTAAAGCCGTTGTAAAACGCGGATATTTTAAAATTAGTATTATACAGTTTAAGCACATTAAAAAAACGCCACTTGTGAAACCTATGAAACTTATAGATTTTAAAATCTCTTTCTAAAATTCAATGACGTTGCTAACTCAATGCTCGAAAAATTCTGTTTACTCATTAATATGAACAGCTTTTGTTTTATTTTATTTTGCATGGCTAATGTGCTTTACAGTGGCAATACTAAAATTCTAAATGGAATGCACCACTGAGGATACATCATAAATGTACTATATACGACAGGATTTCAAAATTTCCTGACATAGTATAATAAAACAAGTATGGTAAGTCCATGCAAACTAGGGACATACAATTTTTTATCGTAATGGATCATATGCCTCTGAATCGATCTACGGATCGGATCAGATGCTCTTGAACCGATCTCATAAAAATAATTTCAAAATTAATTTCGATAAAAAGTGAGAAAAGACGTTCAGATGGCACAGAAGTACCGAAAATCATCAAATATACTATACTATATTGCATCTACTTAGATGTTGCCAAACTGCTTTGCTTACAGGCCAATGTATACAAGAAGTCAGAAAGAGACTCTTTCAGTACGTGACATGACGTATGCCGCTTTGTAAAATGCTCTTCGAACCTGCATCGACTGTCAAGGACCAGTCCAAGGTACTTCATGGTACTATTAACAGCAATGGAGACTCCCCCCACCACCAATATCGTGACCACACGCGGTGCGTTCCGAGGCCCGTGGAAGCACACAGTCTCAGACTTCTCCAGTGCTACCTCTAGGCCCAAACGCCGAATCCTGGTCACGGTATGCGCAACCGCAGCCGTGACTAACACTATAGCCTCCCGGTGCGTGCTGCCTCGGGCCGTAACCAGGGTGTCGTCGGCGTAACACACTACATCAACTCCACCTATGCGCTCCCCACGCAGCACCCAGTCGTACCCGATATTCCACAGGAGCGGTCCCAGGACTGACCCCTGTGGCACACCGCACGACACGCTCCTTCGACCCACCCCATCGCGGCTTGGATACAGTACGGCTCTATCGGAGGCTTTACTCTACCGTCTTCCGTAGACACTCGGGCACGCAACGGAACTTCAGCGCCTCTAGTATGATGGACCAGGGCAGTGTGTTGAAGGCGTTGGCGATGTCGAGAGACACCGCCAAGAGCACTTCGCGATTGCCCACCGCCTCGTCCGCCAGGTCCCTCAACTGTGCAATGGCGTCAATGGTGGACCTGCCTCAACGGAAACCAAACTATTTGGCGCTGAGGTCCGGTTCTGCCTCTTTCAATCGCATGAGTCGAGCAGCGATCATTCGCTCGAAAAGCTTACTTAATTCATCCAGCAGCACGATCGGTCTGTACGCCGATGACGACTCGGCCGATCGTCCCTCTTTTTGGAGCAGGACCAGCTTACCAATCTTCCACCTCTCTGGACAATGGGCTTGCTTCAAGCAGGCACTCAAGAGCGCTCTCGTTCGCGGTTCTAGGGGACCTAAGGCCAGCACCAGTGCACGACCAGGTACCCCATCCGAGTCTGGGGTGGTATTTTGGGCACGCAGCCTCAACACCGCTGCACCCAACCCTGCCTCAGTCACTTCGTGTGCACCCGTGCTACCTCCTTCGTTCTGGTTTGGTTCCGCTGCCGGCGCCATCGGCGGAGGTGTGTGGTGCGCCCTTTCTGGAAATAGGGCTCCCACAACCTGATCTAGCAGTTCGGGCTGGAAAAAATACGACAGACCTGCTGTAAGTAGTTGATGAGGAGTTGGATTGGAGCCGAAAGCCAGTACAAAAATCTATAACAACACAAAGGAGACTTTCGACAGCTCGGTAACCTGACCTGTGGCTCTGTTGGTAACAGCAATGCTACGGTGCAGCACGATCGTGGTTTCAAGTTCCACCGGGTCAAAGAAATGTTTTCATGTGTTCGATCTTTGTATTAATAATAACAATAAAAGTAATAGAGTTATTTTGCAAAAATCTCAATGCACAATCTAATATAAAATTTAAAAAATATATTGTGTCATATCTATATCTAGTCACTATTCGAAACTAGCTTTCCTTAATTTGCAAGTGGTAGTTAACTGTAAAATTAGTAACAAACACACTTAACCAGTGTAAAGTTTCTTTGATATGATTATCAGGAAATTGGCAACGGCATTAATGTGAAATAGTATTTAGTCGCCGACAGGACGGATCGCTTTATTTATTTAAAGTAAATATGATATATGAAGTTTAACTTTTCTATTGCTTCCACTGTATTAAAAATAGTAAATATTTATGTTAACTAAACACAAAGCAATGTGATAGTGGACAGACTTTGCTTGACATTTCTGTCTAAAATCATAGAAGAACCTTTGATATCCGCAAAAAACTGGTGGTCTGACAGAGTTAAGGTTGAAGCTATCAGAAAATGGAAGTGGGCAGCACATGTGCTATATATAAAAGCAGATAGATGAGGTAATATCATAACACATAGGCGACCTGATAGAACGGACTGGACGGTAACTGGATACATAAATCCGAAAATCGACCAGGATGGAGGCCGTTAGAGAAAATCTACGCTTAACTTTGAGTATCGATGACTTGAAGAAAAAGGGAAATAAAATAAATGTTACATTTCGTACTTCTTCTATGAAAAACGGTAGAAACAATTCGACAATAAGTGAAAGTCCAATTTCAAACACAAATACTTGAATAACATAATTATTTGAACAATCAATATACAAGAGTCCTAAACATACAAGTCTTTTGTTAACTATGAAACAACAACCGTTTAACTTAACCGAAATAATGTAAAACTTTGCAACTTCGCGAAACATAAACATCAAACACTTGTTAACAAACGCCTTACATCCCAAGCTTAGCGGTAGATTGAAAACAATTGTCACCTCATGTGTGGTCTAATTTACTTCTATTATGTACAACCATTTGTTCTTATAGGCTGACTAAAGAAGATTGAATTGTCTAATCTCGGAACTTAAATCGTACATTAGATAAGTCACGTAACTTTTTTTGTGATACATTTTTATTCGTTTCGGTATTTGTGTTTGCATTGATGCTTTCGTTACAATATTCAAATATAATCTATAATACTTAAAAAAAAACATTATTCACTTTAGTCGCCCATGATCAGGAGATCTTTAAAGAGCCGAAAACGTTGGTTTCTTTGAAAAAACAAATATATGTGATTAAGGTTCGAAAAAATAGTTATAAATGAATAGACAATAAAAATTTCCAATTTCGTTACATATCGTTGTACCGTTATACCTGTCTCATGAAGTAGGCAGACTTCAACTTCCTCAACTTGTACCCAATTTTTCTACACGCTCATTTATTTTGTACCATACCACAATTTTTTTCTATGATATCAAGCGAAGAGACGAACAAGTCGTGCAGTATCAGTTGCAATGCCAGATCTTTAAACTGCAAAGGTTTGAGGGACTGCCACCGCGCCCGTCACCCTGAGATATAAGTTGACGAGTCCCATGTGCCTGTAATTTCACCAGCACCATTATCCTTCAAACCAGAACACAGTAATGCTCACATTACCGCGTACATACATGAAAGTAATTTATAAAACTTTCTCTTTTTCTCTTTAAATATAGCGTACTTTACGATTTCATATGACTTTTTTGTTTCAGATGTAACAGTGGCATTGGAATGACCCGCTACATGCCACCTTTCGGCTTTCCACCTTCTATTCTTTCCGAAAATGATACCTTGCACCTGGCCTACTACGTTATTCTTCCTAATATGGTAAGTACTATAAAGAAAACCTTTGAAATGTTTACGGTTATTATGTATTTCACCTAAATACTGTTCAATATGTGTGTATTTATAATGAAAAACTGTATACGAGTTGGATTGCGCATTTCGAAATCGTCTATGCAGAAAAAACAGTCTTGCAGTTGCGTCAATGGTAAAACCCTAGCACGCTGAGAGAGCCGATTATCAAAAGAGACATTAAATATCACCGTAGAAAATGTCGTATAAAATTCGTTTTATTAATCGCATAAACTTTTGGTAGCTATTCTCAAGTGTCTACCGCTAGATTTTGAGAATTATATTGCATTATCGATCTTCCAGATCAAAAGCAATAAAGATTTCACGAAGTCGTTAGTCATTATTCAATCATATTATTCAAAATAAGCTTGGCAGCAGCATTACTTGACATAAGTGCAAAAAAATTTAATGTAATTGATAAAAACAATATAATATTATGTTGCTATGAGAGATTTCAAAACTTAGCATCTGTATTTTTAATTCCTTGTGGGGGTACACTGTGAATTTCAAACAATAAAAGGCAGTCGCGTCTTATTCTTGAGATTCCTAGGTTGATAATTAAACTGTTGTTGTTTACAAACACCGCAAACACAACGTAACGAATGACAGTCTTAACCTTTCCCGAGAAAATATAGTTTGCGGTTTTAATTCCTACTTCAAAGGGTTTCGGTCCCGCGTACCACTCCGTATTATCGAAACTTCATCATCCTTTTTTGGATATTAACTTACCAAAGTCAATCACATTATAAATAGTTGAAATGATCTAAAAACAAATACCTAGTAGTGATTTATCAGAATATATAGTTTCAATGCCTATTACACGGACCGAAATTTTGGTAATTTTCGATAAGTAAGTTTAAGATAAGTTCTGACTTGATGATAATTATAAAATACAATTTTTCTACAGATTATGCAAAACCCTAAGGCAAATAAAGTATTGCCTTTTGGAAAGCTATATTCCCTTATCACCACGTACCATCCACCATCATAGAGAGAAATATTACATTTTCTTTGTCTATTATTAAGAATACTATTCTATATTTAAGGTTGGCAGCATTCAACATATTATTTCCGCGGATTTGACGGATTTAGATTCTATCTCTAATATTGATATGTTAAGCGCTATCTGGAAATTGGGAATATTACGAATCTTTTGTTCTTTTTTAGTGATATACAGTGACGATAGAATTTAGGAGCTGGTAAATAGCGAGAAGTTTCATTAATTTTTTATTTATTACCAGAATGTTTCACCACCATGCTATTCAATTATTTTTTTGTGAAATGACTACACTAGTTTGTTATAATTATTTATACAAAGATCAGACTACTAATAGAAAGACTCAGAAAAAAGTCCTTTGTTCCGACCGGATTCTAACCGACGATATCTCCTAGCAAACGGTGCTATGCCAACAAGCCACGGAACGAATCCAAGGAAAATAATTTTAATTTATCGAGGGCTCGATATGGATTGTATAAGTAATTTGAATTAATTTATAGTTTTAATTGATTGAAAATTAGAAACAGTATTTTATTGACTATTAATTTACTAATTGACTAATGAAAGGGATGAATTGTCAATGCAAATGACTAACTATGCTGTTTTGATGAATACGGAACGGGATCTCGGTAAAATGGACGGATTGGATGGGCGACAGTGGGGTGAGGTTGTGAATAGAATCAGTGTCGGGGGCGGTAGACATTTTGAAAGTTGATAATACAGAAGGATTATATTTAATGACTTAGAATTCAGTTTGACAATGGTGAGTTTCAACCGGTCAATGGGACCAAAGGCCAGTGATTGTTACAAAATACTGAATATTTATGATTGCTTTGTAAACGTGTCAGTTTCTAATTGTATTGAATAGCACCAGAAGAAGAATTCATAATATCTATATATATTTATATTGTGCACACCAATAGGGCGCTGCCGAAGCTTTGCAACGTCACACAAAGAGTGACACAAGAATATTGCGTTGTCGCGACGTAACGCCGCTCCTGGCTTCGTCTCCTGGCCCCTTGTTCGATGTGAACGCCTTCCATCGCCGCGCACCGTTTCAACGTACCATTATATGCCGTGTAGTTCTAACTTATATGTAGTACAACGCAGCGTCACCATTCAGGCTCAAAGTCATGCAAATGTCAAGTCATTGATTTAAAAAGGGATATAAAAATTGAGAGAAATACTTTCCCATTGTTTTAATACCAGTCATCCAAACTACATATTTATAGGTTCTTAGAAAAATCTAAGATTTTAAAACAATAACTATTCCGTTTACAAAAAAAAAACAATCAACAAGTATCGCTGTAAATGCGCATTAACAAACATTACAGAGAGTATTCCGGATGCAATTTCAATTGTATTTACAGATATTACAAAAGCTTTCGACTTTGTATCCTATAAATTACTACTGAACAAAAATAGGAATATGTGTTGAGAGACCCGTGCTATGATCTAATAAAATTTTCACTTCAATATCGCCAACAAGAAACATATGTTATGTAACTGGACAAACACAGGGAAAGGTAGTAAAATCTAATATAAAAGTTTTGGAGGGTGGTGTACCGCAGGGTGATATTTTATGGTCCTATTTCGTACTGCTCCGATTCGTACTCTACATTAATGACTTGGCAGACCACGACCAATAGACGCTCCTACCTGAGTGGTAGTTATGAAATATTAATGAATACGGTTCAAATGATACCACAGCAATAAGTTAATGGATGTAAGATACATTTTGTGCAATTCCACTATAAGCAAACGTGTTCCAGGTTCAATGGAGTGTAGAGTATGTCCTTCAACAAGGACCTCCTCCAGGAATTTCCCTCTCTACGGGATAACTTTCCTTCTGAGTCGGTTGCTATAGCTTCAAGCCTATCTCGATATCGCTGTGTGGAATTCGCATTCTCTTTTTTGTTTGTGGTTACTTCCACGTATTCGTAGATTTCTGTGTTAGAAATCCACTAATGTTGCTAAAATAACAAAATTTTAAAATGTAATAATGTTCACAAAGAATTTTAGTAACAGTGAAAATAACTCTTAAAATAGTCTGATCTTCGTACATCAAAATCAGGGTAACCTATCACAAACTCGAATTTTTTTTCCGAAATAACGTTTGTATGAATTTTCATTACACCAAGAACCTAATTATAGCGAAACCGTTGTTCTTTCACGATGTGTTGGATATTTATCGCAAAGACACGATTACGTTCGGTTAGGTTAGGTTAAGTTAGGTTTGAAAGAAAAAACATTTTGCTCTCAAGATTACTTTCGAGGTTCATAAAATTTCGACCAAACGTTATTTCTGGAAATAATTTCGGACTACTGATAGGTAACCCAAAATCAGTACAGATAACATTGTGGTAAAGGCACAGCCTGTGTAAGGGATTATTAGACGACACATCACGATTTCAAGGTGGTATAGTGAGCGTTAATAGAAATTTCTCATTAACATAGAGGTGTAGTTACAAGGCCAAAGTACAAAATCTCTAACGCGGCCTCTGTAGAACTATCTACTTTTATTCGTAAATAAATAAATAATTAACAAACCGTTAAAATGTTTGACACCGCACTTAGGGCAAGGCCTGTTTAATATTTTCACAAGGATTCTAACTCAAAGAAAAGAAAGCTTTTCACGACTCAGTTTTCGCCGTAAGTGGAAAACAATTATTTTTCTTGGAGAATCTAATATGCGGAAAATGAACTTCCTACGTCAACAAATGAAAATGTACATCTTTTGCAAATGAAAATAATATTTGTGATGAAAAATTAACATAAAAATAAACTGGTGATGAAAAAGTAAGATAAAAATTACAGGACAATGATTTATATTTGATAATTTTCAGTACAACACATAGAAGACATCTATATATTTAAATTTACACTATATAAATAAAACATTTGAAAATTAAACTATTTTTCCGGATTTAAATCGCGTATATTAGTTTTTTCAAACAAACCAGTGAATCGTGACCATGGGACCTATAAAGGGCTTGGTTTGTTTGAAAAAACAAATATACGCGATTTAAATCCGAAAAAAATAGTCTCATTTCCTATGTGTAACGATCACGAATACCTACATAAGTACTCGATAAAACACTTAAATTTTAAATGACATACGTGATACATAATAATAAAAATAGGCGCTTTGACATCTAGTTGCGGATACCAAGTACCAAGTACAGGATAATAATAGTACTCAACTTCTTGAACTTGAGTACCGGACCCCAAGCTACTGCGCCCGGGAATACCGCCCATCCCGTTAAAAATTCAAAATGCGTCCTTTAGAACATAGAAGCGGCGAGAATGTAAAATAGACATCATCCGTCATCTAAAATGGAAACAGAAATAATACTTCCCTGGACGACCTCTTTCACAAGGAGTGAAACTACTGTTATATTCTTTTAATAGGTAGTATTCAATGGCGTCTATATTTGATCCCATAATAGAATTTTTATTTATAGATCTATGTCTATTAAGCACTGCGTGTAAAGCTAGAATGGTTATTTACTTATTTATTTGAGTGATCACTCTACACAGCTACAGACTTATGGTTTTCGATCGGGTAGATACTACCTCTGTTCAAGTTTTTTCCGTGTTTACGTGTAATTTTGCTTGAGTCAAGTGGCAGGGACACTGGCTTTATTTCAGAATTTATTTTTTTGTAAACAAAATTAAAGCTATTTGAAAAACATAGTATACGTATTCTATTGAGTTCAGTTGATATAAAATAAAAATCTTTAGTATATATACAGTAACTATTGAATAGTAGCAGTTTTCTTGTAAAATTTCTAGGTGTTTGTGTTTTTTTTCTATAGTGAAAATTTTTAGAAATCGTGTTTTCACACCCTATAGTAATGATGTATATCCTCATATTTGCTATATATTTTTTCCAAAATTATTAATTCAACACTGTCACTGTTAAGCGGAATCAACCAAAGCCATTTGAGGTTGTATAGACTCGTTTCTAATTTCA